TTATAACAACAGGTTACGCCCGCAAGATTCTCTTTCGCTCGCTTGTTAGTGAAATCAAATTCGCTCAGAGGTTTAGGAGTTTTTCAGGGAAGTGTGATTCTGCTAGAAGGCGCTGTGTGAACGTTAATGAAAATCTCTTAATCTAGACCTGCAAGTGGTCCGGTTTTCCCTCTGCACCTGCCAAACAATTAACCATCCGTTCCAAAGTCAATGAATCTGCAATTGTCTGGAAGCGGAGGAGGCTGAGCTTGTTTAGGCACTGCCATGCGTCTCCGTTCTCTCTGCCTCTCCTTTCAGGTTGATGGGATTAGGTCTCTGCTAGGAGACTCCGGTTTAATTTGTGATTAGCGGGGGAGTTTGCTGGGGCGAGATGCGCTGAATAACCCTGTAACCCGGCCGATGATGAGCCAAACAATGACTTTGACACGAAAAGACGATGCTCCTGTTGTGCTAATGTATGTAGCGCTGATTGAGTCGCAAGATTAGGGGCTGTTTTCTGGCGCCGGTTTTAGCCCGCACTGTTGTCTACGTGCCATTCTGTCTGTTGCTTCTAGCAACAAAGAAATAAAAGTCTACAAGTATGACGTGGAGTAGAGAGAGTACTCACCCTGCTCAAGCCCATGTGATAGCTGCTCTTCTCCAGGTCCAGACTCTCCAGCAGCTCCTCGACGGCCTGCAAAAACACATGGACATTTGATTTTATTCGACCGTTTTCACTTACAAGTCAAATAGAAGGCAATCCCGTGAGGATTAAGGGTCTTGGCTCGCGTTCCGAAAATCATTCTAGAGGCTTCCTGTTGAATTATGATATTCCGCCGAAGACCGATCACGGTTTTAAGTGTTGCTGCATCCATGAATAAACAGATAAACAAGACTAAAACTAACCAGAGTTGAGCTACTTTACAGTCCCCAAGTGTCCTACTAATGCTCAGCTTCACTGTCATCTCTCTCTCTCTCTCTCTTTTCTCTCACTCTCTCAGAGCAAGTCTTGAAAACCCGATCTGAAAGGCCCCATCTAGATTACAGTGGACGAGGGGGTGGCAGCCCGCAGCACTAAAGCACCATTGTTCCAGTCTGTTTCCACAGAAACCCATCAGTGAGATGCTGGCACAGGGGAAATCTGCTTCTCGCACTTTTTCGCCCGCTCTCTCCCGCTAAGGCTGGCTTTTGTGCGCTCCTCCTTCTTCCCACCGTTTCATTTCGGCAAGGCTTCATCCACAGGGAATTCAAACACAATTGACCTTCCTTTCTCTCGCAATTCTCGTCAGGATGAGAGAGAGAGAGAGAGAGAGAAAGAGAAAAAAAGGAGAAAAAAAAGTCTTCACGCTTATTTTCTGCCACGCAAATTCAACAGAGTCGTGCAGCTGGGGAGATTTCAAATAAACCTATAGTTTTGCAAGCACGGTCCCGTCGTTCGGTTCAAGATGGCAGCCACATTTTTCAAACTTGATAATTGCTATACGATTTTTAGGCCATTTTCCAAGCCCTAAGCCCCAGAGCAATTAATATATTTCTCCTGTCTGCACCCTGTATTGATTCCAGCAGGAAACACAGCTGGGAAAGCTTGATTAAGCCGTCACAATGGGCACGATTAACTGAGCTTTATTTCTCGCTTTACGGTGGCACAAAAGCGAGAGATGAGCGCCAGGCTTTGTCTCGTTACCCTCCCGAAAGCCCGGAGCACTTTATCCCTCTCTCCACTCACCCTTTTCTCATCCTTTACGATGTAGTTACGGCCAAGCTTTTTGGTCAGGTGTGGAGCCAGAACGTCGAAGCGATGCCGGAACTCTGAGAACACCATGTGGTCTGGATAACCTGTGATGAAAAACCCCCCAAAAAAGAGGATGTTTCATTTAGTGTAGAAACACAAATATAGAGATGTAAACTGGAGTGTGATTTGAAGTGTGGCTCCTGCTTTTCTCCACACCTTGTCTGTAGATGCGGAGAGCGTCCAGCAGTTTCGAGCCCCGGACCTGAGCTCTCAGTAAGGACACGTCCAGCTGCATGAGGCCTGGATCACAGCTCTCACCCTGGAGCTCGGCAGAGCTGGAGGGCTGTAAAGCATCTGTCTTGGGCAGCAGGCAGTGCACAAAGTGAACCCTTGACCTCCTGACTGTGTCCAGCAGTGCATCCTGTAAGAAATCATAAATCATGAGTGAGTAACATATACACACACACACACTAGTCCGGGACCTTGACCGTAACCCGCTTATATTTCATCAATATTTTACCCGGATGATAGTCCATTATTCTGGAATACATTCTTTTTAGGGATCAGTATGCGTCGAATTTTCTCTTTCAAATCGAATTACCGTACTGCATTCATAAATTATTATTCAGATCTTGTTGGCATTTTTGTTTTGTCTTCAACTGGCAAAAAAATAAACGGATACTTTTATCAAATTTAATACCTGCCCTTCAGTTCTACTAAAATTTGCAAAAGACTTTTCATGCCCTCGTACAAAGGTCTCACCACTTGGAGCTTGATCTGGATGCAGAGGGATTTCTTCTTCACGCCAGCCATGCCGGTAGTGAAGGTCTTCCTCATGCTGGTGGCACGGCGCAGAGCGAGCCGAGAGCCGCCCTCCAGCCCGGCGATGGAGCCTGACAGCACCGTCGCGCTGCTCGAGCGGCCCATAAACAAGGCACTGATGTTCTTCCTGTTAAACAGTGAGTGAGAAACTCGTTCATTTAGCACTTAATAACATTGCTGCTGCCTTCACTTAGCAGTGATGATGATGCCTTGGCCATACAGAGCTGGACGTTCGTGGAATAACCTCACGAGGGCCGTTTTAAAATTTTTAATCATGTGAAAGCTTTTATGGTACTGTGATGGTTTTATTATATTGTTTTTCTATTGCACTGATTATTAACCACGTCATTTCTTCATTCAGGTGTGTTTCAGAATGAACAGCATAAAAATGTCCAGAAGGCTCCTTTACTGTAATAAAGAAAGTGATATTCCACAGCGTATCAGATTTAACAGCCCAGAACACAATTTATGGTCGTTATGTGTGTGTGTGTGTGTGTGTGGCCTGACTCGTCTTACTTTTGCGAACTCTGTAGGAGGTTCACTGCATTCTGGGAGGCGGGGTTTTGCTTGGCCTGGTTCAGCCAACCACGGGCGTCGTACTCCACCCAGTCTGTGCCATGGCTGTGGGCGAGCAGGAAGTGATGCGGCCGCTCGCTTTTCAGCAGCAGCGTGTGGCCTGTAGTAAAACCAGGCATTTATAAGCACCATTGGTATTGAGTGTAAATGTTGTGTGTGTGTGTGTGTGTGTGTGTGCGCGCGTGACCTTTGCTCTCTCCTTCTGCAGGGCCGTAGTAGCTAAAGAATCTCCCCAGTAGTGTGTCCTCTGATCCCGATGGGTGCAGCACCTCCTCTTCAATCAGCCAGAACAGCCCCCTTGCTTCATCTGTCCTTGATGGCGTCCGCACCTGTCTCACACACACACACAGAGGAGATACATGATTTACTCAAATATGACAGGCAGCAGGCAGAGCCACACCTACTTCTGTACGTCTGTGTACAGAAGTACACAGTCAGACATGGATAAAGGCCACGCCTCCTTTAGTGAGAATGGTAGGCACAGAGGCCACACACTCCTTCATTGAGACTTGACAGGTTGGAACTGAAAAAGGAGTTCAGAAAGAAACACAGTGCCAAAGGAAATATTTTAACTGAAAAACAACGTCGACGTTGAGATTTTTCCTTGATGTTTCAAGACTAAATCGGAGTTTGCACAGCAAGAAACCTCCTTCCTGCCAGCATGTAATAATCGCCAGGAAAGACTCAGCAAGACCCCAGCGCGTTATTGACTTATACACACTGACACACTCCACTAGATAAACTCTACCCACCTTCACACGCTTGCACTTCAATGCTCCTGCCCGCCCTTCCTGTACACTACAGCACTCCAAACTCGTCTCAATAATCACAATGGGACCAGCGTTTATAAATTCCTGATAGCAGAAAGCCGAATTCAGTTTACCACCGTTGAACATTAAATTTCATGCTTTATTGTTCTGTGCCCGCCATTAAACAACAACGACGCTGTCCAAGCAATTATCATGCTTTCGAGTGCTTTAAAAAGGCATCGATGGGCTGAGACGTTCGCCGCGGCGTTCTTATTCGGTCTGAAAGGCTTATTCTGTCTACGAGCACGCCACTTGCACAATTATTGGAAAAATAGCCACTGCAATTCTTCCTGTTTTGTCCCTTTGTCTCACTTAACTCGAGTTTAATAGACACTGGAATAGCAAATGCTGATACGCGAGACGAAGCGATTAGCCTTCATCGATTCTCAATTCAAGCACTACACTTTTAACCAACCACAGCGTCCCGGCTGAAAAAGATCAGCTTAGACAACAGGAATTCTGTGATGGTCCAAATTGGTTAGCACTGGGCTGGTGATGGTAGTCTACTAGCACGGTCAAGCCGAGGTGGTGAAGACGGCTTTATGGAACAGTTGTACGATGCGTTTAAATCTTGTTTAAGCCATGTAGGACCGGACCTATAACAACGTGGCTAGAGAAAACTCAGGTGTGATCTTACCAAGGGCTGACTGGATGCATGGTCTACAGCAGCGACGGACAGCGACGGACTCGGCTCCATGTCGTCTAACGCGAGCTCAATGTTTTCCTGAATGAACGCAAAAGGCTTGATTAGTATCCTAAATAATGACCTTAAAATAACAACAAAAAATATGCAGTTTGTTTGGGGTCTAGATGGAAACATCCGAATAAACCAGACATAACACACAGGAAACAGATTACTAATCAAATTTCTGTCGTCTTTCGAAGACTGCTCAGCATTGCAGTAACCTTTCAACCTCTTCGCATGCAAATAAATGCCTCTGTTCTCTTCATTTCCTGTCAATCTTATTCTCAGCTGTGCTTCTGAACCTATCTTTTATCCATTACATGTTTCTACAGCGACTTACATTTATCTCATTTATACGGCTGAGCAGTTGAGGGTTAAGGGCCCAGCAGTGGCAGCTTGGCAGTGCTGGGATTTGAACTCATGACCTTCTGATCAGTAGTCCGACATCTTAACCAATCATCTAAACCTTTGGTGCGTGGCCCCTTTAAACACTGCTTGCAGCTTTAATTCTATTAATAATTATGTAAATGGAAGGTCCTCAAAAGGATAATAAGAGAACCGTGTGTGTGTGTGTGTGTGTGTGTGTGTACACCTCCTTGTAGCGATCCAGCTCTTGCACAAATGTGCGCTCATGGAATAGTGCCTGCAGTCGCTCTTGCGCGTAGTTGTGACAGAGCTCCTCGAAGGTAGCACCTCTCTCGCTCTTGGCCTGCCGAGGATTCTGGGAGCCTGGAGTGTCCACGATCAGCACGGAACACAACGAGTGCTTCTGTGTGGACTTCAGAGCTCTAAGAGGGACGAAGCGAAACACAGAACAAGAAGTAAATGTGTTAAATGTAGTGTGTTATATGTGTTAGCACTGGTGATGTAATGTCTAGACTCTAGCCTTGAATTCGCCATGAAAAGGCGGGGGACAGAGGAGATCGGCGGCGTCGACTCACCTGTTGATGAGGGAGATCAGGAGAGTGAAGATCTCGGAGTATAAACTGGAAGCCATGGCCTCCAAACATTCCATTGCTGTGGCCTTCGAACCTACACCGAAGCACATGTACGATACGCAGTCAAAAGTTTACACACAGCGGAATAACACAAATGGAACTATGGGAATTATGTTGTGATATAAAAATAAAATTCTAAATAATTCTCTGCGTTTTCTCGACCGATTTCTTGAGGAATTTCCCTGAGATGCTTTTTAAATCGTATTAAAGGAGTTCACACTGACGCCGGACTCTCATCGCCGCTTTTCGGAAATATTTCGCTCCGAGTCGTCCGTTTGAACAAAATTTTTTTTGTAAATAAAAGGCTCGTTTTCTAATGAAAGACACGAATACGTCGGCACGATTATATTTTTTGTCCACGACACCAATTTCACACGTTTAATCACACGCCTTCAGATCGAAAGTTTTTTTTTAAGACCGCGAGAGACGTTTCAGGCGGGCATCCACAAACTTTTGACCGGTGGCATACACACCATCTCATTTCCAGACAGTTCGACTGTGTGAACGTAAAAAAACAAGCCTGATTAATCTCAAGTTCCTCAAGGACAGATATGGATGAGTAGGACCATGAGCACAATAAAGCAAAGTCACAGAGGAGAAAGCGCTTTCATCGTTATGATGTGTTCGGCGCCGGCGTTAAATCAGAACACGCGCGACGATAAAGATAGAGCGACCCGAGCTTGTCGAGAGAAAAATCAGACCGCAGGCGCCCACACGCATTCCTCCTGGTACCCGCTAAGCATTTCTGACATCAGATAAATCTCGCACCTGCAACGAAAACGCACCAGCGCATCGAGACACGCCCTCGGGAGATGTGCGAACGAGTCTGAGAAAGGCGTGGGCCTGGGCGACAATCCCAGCTCATGTGATAGGAGAGAAATAAACACACTGGCACTTATAACAAAACTGCAAGAGCGCGCACCACACGGCTCCCTGTTTAAACAAACGCCGCATATGCTGCAGCATGCAGAGGACGTACGCTCGGGTCTTAAAGAGGATTAGTCGCCATCTGCGCATGTTCAGGTGTGATAACCTGCATGGAGGATTGATGTAAAGAACACAAAATGCTGGCTCATGGACACAATGTTCACTAAAACCGAACAAAATGCTGCGTTTAAGTACAATTTCCTCTACAAACTGGAGGACAGCTGTTCTCACAGAACAGCTTTCCTGCTGAATCCGTCATTTTAACCATTAAAAAAAAAATTAAAATGTTAAATATGCTTTTAATACCAACAAATCTCCTAAAAGGATCTGTAAATATGCATGACATGCCACTACTGCCTCCCATTATCCTGGTTAAACTCGTCGTTCTTTGATATATAAAAGCTGTATTCATTGGCGAGTTGCTGTGGTATAAAAGGAATGGAATTGGAGATGGAATTACACGACAGACTGTGCCGTTAGTGTGTCACGGAGTGTATTATTCCGCTTATACAGCAGCGATTTGCCGATCTATTACGACGTTTAATTTATTCATTAATTATTAACAGTTTATAGATTGATGTAATGCTGTGGAAGTGCTCACGCACATTATAGCTGTGATAAACTCTCGTTCCCTCACAAGCCTTCCCTCTCTCTCTCACACACACACACACGCCAAAAAGAGAAAATAGAAAGTGTCAACAATTTATAAGAATTACTTTGCTAAACATGTTTTTAAATCCGTTTATTACAAATCTAATTCATTTGAGCATCCGGCATACAAATCCCTGTGCATGCGCTGTTACTATAGAGACAGTCGGCACGTTTACATGGACAACAATAATCCACTATTAACCCGATTAAGACAATACTCTGATTAAGAAACTACCATGTAAACAGCGATTTTTAATGAACTTAATCTGATTAAGGTCACACTCGAAGTAAATACAAATGGAATTAAGACGTGTAGAGTATTCTGGTTTTAGTCGCATTATGGACGAGTATTACAGACATGTAAACACCTTAATCACTTTATGAACATCGTGTGAGAGTTCTCAGCGCATTTTGCGACAGGACACGATCACACACGGCAGTTCTCAACATTTTAGGCAAACAAGAGAGCACGGCCGCGTCCCAAACCGCATACTTACCTACTATAGGCCTGTAGTAGGAGAAATACATGTATCTCAGCTACTATATAGATGGTAAGTACGCGGTTTGGGAGGCAGCCCACGGCTTCAAGCAGTCGTCTATTAGCACGTTCAGCATGACAAATAATTAACCGCACTTGAAGCGTTTGTAAAAAAACAAAAACACCCAAAACTGTATACGGTACCATAAGCGAAGACGAACTGTATGTCGATACGTGAACGTCTGGAGGGTGCGTTGTCCTAATGACGTGTGCTGTTAATCGAACTATGTTCTATAACATGTACAACGGGAACATGAAAGGAATATTCTAAAAGCCACTCATGTAAACACCTTAATCAGAATACTGTCTTATTCAGAATAAGGTCAATAATTAGATTACTGCTGTCCGTGTAAACGTAGTCAATGACGTATTCGAATGAGTCCATAAATATAAACGAATGGTTCACATTCTGACCAATCAGATTTGAACAATCAACTGCGCTGTGCTGCAAAACAAAATCATCAACCGTATATACACGACGTTTTGCATCAGGTCGTATGAAGCCACCCCGGCGTTGATTGTTTTCCTATAACAGCACTCCAAGACAAAACAGCTTAAGATCATCTGACTACATTTAAAGCTTTGCACTTTCTTTATTAATTACTAGGCTTCTAAAATTCAGTCAGCTTCAAGATACTTGCCCCCACGCCACGCCACCCCACCCCCTCCCCTGGTTGCTGGAGCGGACTGTAGAATGAAGTGGGAAGCTGCAGTGTTATTACTTTATTTTATATATGACGAGATGCTGCTGGAGATCATTATTGAGAACAATCAAAGAGATTCGAATTATTATAGAATTCTTTATTATAATTGTAGGCCTAATTGACCGGCTACTTGTATTAATCTTTTTTTTTTTTCTACATTGGAACGTCATTTGGTTTTGTGGGAGAATATTCAGGAATGAATAAATATTTATTACCAAATCTTTGTTTTATTTGGTAATAAATATCTCACTGTGCTGTGGTTGGTAGAAGTTTGTTTACATTAAAGAAGTGACTGATATGGGAAGTAAAGAAACGTTTGAGTAGTAAAAAAAAAAAAGTAGTATGAGATGTAAAAGAAAAAAAAAACAAAGAAGAAGAAGAAGAAATGAGATTTTCCTCTTTTCTTAGATATTACAAACGCAAGTCCCTCCGCCGAGTTCTTTTTCTTTCACTGAATTAGCGAGTGGATGGATGTGGATGTGGTTGTGGTTGTGCTTGCCTGAGCTATCTCCGAAGTCCTCGGCCCCCTGGCGGATGCTGGAGGTTCGTGGCAGCGTTCCCTTGGCCTGGGGTTTGAAGATGGACGAAGAGAGCTCTTCCAGAGTGCAGCCCAGGAGATATGCCGCTTTCTGAGCCCATTCGTGTCTGGCAAACTGCTTGCGGCCAGCTGAGGAGCACCGAGAGGGAGTTATTAACGGATAAATAAAGCGTGTCGTGCAGGTTTCATTGTACACTTACTGCATTTTCCGTTTACGTTTATTCATTTAGGAGAAGCTTTTATGCAAAGTGGCAGAATATGATCAGAGCGAGAACGAGGAACAAGAGAGGAACGGGAGTCCGAACCGGTCCTGCTTATAGAGGATGATCAGTAAAGCTGTCTCTCGCTGTAATCATAATAAAACTCAAACCAGTGAGTTAACTTCCCAGCCTAGCTTACGATCTACAGGGTGTCTAAGTAAAAAAAAAAAGTCAGGAACCAATATGAGTGAAATGACATGCACTTCATATTGAATGATTGTTTACATGTTCATCCTTGCTCTCTACGCATCTTCTCAGCCTCTGTATCAGGGAGGAGCGCTTTAACATTCTCAAAAGCGTCTCTTCAATTTCTCCAAATTGACTTTAATCTTTCAGACGGAAGATCAAACAGTTTGGATAGCAGGGAGGTTTCTCCCCCCCTCCCTCCCCGCAGTGTTTTCTGTTATTCTTATAATCCAGCACACAGATTGTTAACAGAACTATGGAGTAACATCAAACGGAGCAGATAGGCGCTTTATCAGCAGCACAAACCCGCTGCTTTGCCTCGCTGAGAGAGGATGAAAGTGTGAGGAACATGGAAGCTCAACACTATTAAAATGCTAATAAACTGTCTGCTATCAGTGATTTAAAAAATAAAATAAAATAAAATAAACACACACAGAACAACATTCCAGTGAATATGCAAGAGGGTGCGTTTACCTTCGTCTGACTCTGGGTTACGATGTAGGTACAGCGCCGGCATGCAACATCAGTATGTGAGTGAAAACAGAAGGGTTAACAGGACAAACAACACACTGCAATTCTACTGGAGAAACAAATCTCCAAGATGTTAAGGTTCTTATTAGCATGCAGTCTCTCTCTCTCTCTCACACACACACACACACACACAT